CTCAATCTCAGCTCTCGCTGGACCGATTTTGATGAACAATATGTCAAAAGATCACAAATCGTATCTAGTCGAAGACATTACCCTCAAAAATTGAAAAAAATTCCCTCGTTCCCCGTAAACGGGGGAAATCCCCCAAAAAATTACAAATTTAAAAATCGCTAATTTTCGATATTTTTTCATTTTTATTTACTTAAAATTGCCATAACTTTTAAAAATGACCGAATCAATATAATTTTTTTTTTTAATAGATACCTTAGATATTTATCTATCNATTTTTTTTTTTATAGATACCTTAGATATTTATCTATCATTTTATATATTTTTGTGAACATTTGACCCTTTAACAGCCCACAGGAAGGGTTTCAAAATGACAACCTTTTCACAAAATTTAACTTTTTAAACTTAACTTTTGAAAATGTTCCGGAAAGACTGACAATTTTATATATACCTTAAATTAAAGCTAATGTAATATACTTTAATTTGAAAAAAAAAAATTTGACCTCTGGACTTGTCTTCATGGTGAAAATGACTACCGTATGCAAAAATATGCTATTTTTGTGAAAAAATTCTTGATATTATATTTTACATTTTTTAACATTATGTTGCTATAACTTTTTAAAAAATGCATGAATCAACTTTATTCTTTAATGATAAATACTTTATATATACTTCTTTCATTCGACATACTTTTTTTTAAAATCGGACCATTTCCCTTTATACAGGGGGGGTGCAAACCTTTTAAAATGCGTATAGAAAGTAGAACTTTTTCAACTTAACTTTTGAAAATGTTCCGGAAAGACTGACACTTTTATATATATCTTAAATTAAAGCTATTGTAATATACTTTAATTAAAAAAAAAAAAAATTTGTCCTCTGGACTGTCTTCACAGCGAAAATGGCTACTAAATGCAAAAATATGCTATTTTTTTGAAAAAATTCTTGATATTATATTTTACATTTTTTAACATTATGATGCTATAACTTTTTAAAAAATGCATGAATCAATTCTATTTTTTAATAATAAATACTTTATATATACCTCTTTCATTCGACATACTTTTTTTTTAAATCGGACCTTTTCCCTTTATACAGGGGTGGTGCAAACCTTTTAAAATGCGTATAGAAAAAAGAACTTTTTCAGCTTAACTTTTGAAAATGTTCCGGAAAGACTGACACTTTTATATATATCTTAAATTAAAGCTTATGTAATATACTTTAATTTGAAAAAAAAAAATTTGACCTCTGGACTTGTCTTCGTGGTGAAAACGGACATCAAAGTTAAAGAAAAACGTACGATTTCCGTGAAAAAAATCTCGATTTTATATGTTATATTATTTAATTTATATTTTATATAACTTTTGGAAAAATGTATGGATCAATATTATTATTTTTTTATAATAAATATTTATATACTCCTTTCATCTACACGCTTTTTTTGTAAATCGGATCATACCCCTTTAACAAGGGGGGTCAAAACTTTAATCATGCGTATTGTTACTATGATATTTTCAATTTAATTTTTGAAAGTATTCCGGAAATACTGACACTTTTATATATATCTTAAATTAAAGCTTATATAATATACTTTAATTTAAAAAAAAAAATGTGACCTCTGGATTTGTCTTCATGGTAAAAATGACTACCGTATTCAAAAATTTGCTATTTTTGTGTTAAAATTCTGGGTTTTGTATTTTATTTTATTTTTAAATAACTGACAAGGGGAGTACAGATTTTCATAAATATTATATAAATAAAAAATTAATATAGCATAGAAAGTTAAACTTATTTAAATTTGTTTGCTTCTTTTAAGTCGAGAAAAATAACTTTGAAATTTGATTTAGCTTAAATAGCCAATTTTTTCATCCGACGGTTGGGTTGGGTTGGGTCCAACATACGGTTGCCGAGTTGGTAATACTTATGATTTACACGCTTGGGGTACGAGGTTCCAACCCACGTATGGCACAATGAATTTTTTCTTTTTNAAATTTTTTGCATTTTTTCTTAATTTTTTTAAGTTAGTATAAATTTTTAACTCGTTTGATTTTTATCTCATTTAGATTCAATAACTTCAATAAAGATCAATGATCCCATCACTTTAGTCGCCCCTTGTAAGAAGAAATTTCTTATTCGTATTAAAATTATTTTACTATATTTTAAGTTTTAGCTTCGATGCAAAGCTGAGAAGGTATTTTTTTGCGACTATCATTTATTTTCTCTACTCTAACTTGACCTACTTTTTTCAACGAAATGACTACAATTCGTATCTAGTTGAAGATATTACCCTCAAAAATTGAAAAAAAAATTCTAATTTATCAATTAAACAGTTAGTTATTACATCGTCTCCATAAAGACAATTAAAATCATTAATTTCTAATGTTTTCAAAATATTTATTAACGAATGAAGTTTGATATGATAGGTTTCAACTACAAAATTAAATCATTTTACTTTGTAATTTAATAATTTTTTTACTCTATTTGTGTGTGCTACTACTAGACTATAATATTACAATTTTTTTTTGTAACATGTTGCTATAT